TGGTTTCGAAAAAACCATGTTGATTTATACCCCCTTGTTTACATTTAGGGAATCATACAGTGGCAGTAATTAAAGGTGAAGAGAGCTATGATCTCCTTAAAACATCTTGCTCAGAGCTTTTTTCAGAGGTGAACAAGATTTTGCAAGATGGAAAAATTGATATTGATGGTTTGCAGATTCCTGTTGAGATATACCTTGGGGGTGACTATAAGGTATATATTGAAGGCGAAGTGAATAAATGGTAAACAAAAACCGAGACAAGGTCGAGGTTTTTATTCTCCAATATTCACAGAGCCTGAGGTGAATAATTGTTTTAGTATAATTACATAGGTACTAGGTGCAAATGTTTGAAAAGGCAAAATTTGGAACCTAAATCTGACAATAGGCATTAGGTGATTATCTTGTAATAATCACCTCAAGCACAGCCAATCAGCATTAAGAATTTTCAATAATCACCTATGTAATTATACTAATTCTTCACTAGAAACTTTGATGACGAACATTATCCCTTGTCTGCTGTTGAATAGAATAATTCTCTTTATTTATATAATTCAATATATTTCATATTGTTTTAATTTCTGTTGTTGTAGTTCCTTCTGATCATAATGGGCATGAAATGTGCTACATCTGATTTTTCATGCCTTTGGTGCCTAATTCATAAACATGACAGGTGAGGTAATAGAGATCTTTATATGTGGGCTGTGGCAAACATGTCCACCCAGTCAGCAGAACTACATAAATTTCCATGAATTTAAAGCTCTGGATGTCTGATAATAATTTACTTTTCCAACTTTTAATTTGTTTCATTTTAGACATGATATGTCAAAGGAACTAAAATATTATTGTGAGGAACCACTGAAGAGAACATTAGAAAGCATCAAGGAGAATGCCAAAAATAACAAGTATTCGTGTGCTCATAGGCCTCTGTTGAACATTTCACTGGACCATGTTGTCCCAGACGAATTACACCTAATGCTCAGAGTTACAGGTATGAACATTGATGCATATAATAAATTATGTTAGAAAAAGCTACAGTATATAAGGTAGGGTGCAAAATTTGGTTGTATTGCAGCTTGATATGGCTTTAGAAGTAATCTAATGAAGAGGATGCTACTGTCAGTTTATACAAGCACATATTTTTTTCAATTGGCAGATGTGTTAACTAAGAACCTGGTTGATGAAGCTGTTGCCTGGGACCACAAAGAAAACCTTAACAAGGCACCATGTCAAAGAACAACTGCACATGTGGATGCTTTAAAACAAGCAATTGCCAGCTGTGGTATATCTTTTAACATATGGGAAAAGAAGAATGCTGATGGCAAAGCTAGCGGTCTCTTTGAATTCACAAGCTTGATGGGAAGTGATAAAAAAATTCTCATGAAAGAACTACCTCCCAAGCTTAAAGACATTTTGAAGCCAAAAAGCTGTAACACAATTGTGCAAATTTGGGAGGTTGGTAATAATATTCTGATAATATACTGTACAGCATTATCAAATGAATGCTGATATGAATAGATGTGAATTTACTAACCTGTTGAAGTGACTTATATTTTCAGAACTTTCATGAGCTTTACACCATGCTTGGTGAATCAGACCCATCTGATGAATGCATTCAGACATTTTTTGAAAAGGTATTTTTTATTCAAATGTATTGTAATTACATTTCACTCTAACTCTGTGAAAACTATTACTTTATATATTTTGCTGCAGGCTAAACATTGGATAGTCCTCTTCAACTCACTTGCTGGTGAATGTGAAGGGTATAAGAAGACCAACATCACTCCGTACATGCATGTAATGACATACCACATGCCCATTTTTATGCAAAAACACGGAGGAGTTAAGAAATTTACGGGGCAAGGTAAAATAGTACATATAATCAGTAACCTTTAATCCAGTACCATAGTCAGTGGAATGATAGAATAGCATAAAGTTTGATATACGGCCACATAGCCAAAAACGCCCCACTTGCAACAAGCTTGTTGACAACTTGCATCAGGCTTGTTATCAAGCGGTATCAGGATGCGTTCACATGGCTTGCATCAGCTTGAATATAACAAGCCTGATGCTAGTTGTCAACAAGCTTGTTCCAAGTTGTTGAGAAGCTAGGACTTGATGTCAACAAGTTTGATGCAAGTTGATTCATCAACTGCAAGTTGCTTCAACTTGCAACAAGTCTGCAGATGACAAGTTGCAACAAACTTGATTTTAACAGGGTTGTTGCAAGTTAATGAAATTGGTAAGGTTGTTGCAACTTGTCAAGAAGTTGCAACAAGCCGGTGAATTTGACAAGTTGCAACGAGCCTGTGGCGTTTTTGGCTGTGTAGGTAGCGGCCCCAAATCCAACGTTTTGAGCAGCCTTTGCTCAGAACGTCGAATCTGTTTGTATCATTTAGGTAGTGAGTAGAATTTTTGCTGCTTGTTGACATAAAGTTTGAGATGATGAACTCCAAATTATGTAATTAGAGAGGTTTATAGATCTAATATTCCAGTTCCAGGGCAACTGCAAAATCTCCTGTTCCAATTTAAATTTTGAACTTGATGCTGAACTCTTACTGAAATCTAACCCAACGAAGGGCCTCCCCCCCCCCTACTCCGCTATCTACACCGGTCACGTTTGCAGTTTCGTACTGGAATCCAAACCTTATCTAAATCTAAACATTAATTGTCCATATTTTTCAGGAGTTGAGAAGAATAATGATGTTTGCCGCAGGTTTCACTTGCAAAAATCAAACAAGTGGAATGCGGCAGCCGACGTATTAAAAGTCAGCAAAAGAATGGATAATCTCAGTAAGTGTGAAAGAAGAGCAAGAGCATATTTAAAGAAAAACACGAGTTACTGGGATGATGAAATAAAAGCAAAAAGGGCAAGACAGAGGCTGACTGTTGTATCTAGCTGTACCAATAATGCAAGTGAAACGAATAGTGTTGACATTGATAGAATGACAGCACTAGAAATCAAACAACACTTGAATGGCTTGGGTATTACAACACGTCTTAGAAATATCAACAAACTCCGCGAGTTATTGGAAAATGTTTTGTTGGAAATTTCCGAGTAAAACTACATTTAATTATTGGATAAGTTTTGGATGTTGCATGATTTCTTAACAATAGTTATGCATAGTTTTTCAAGTGGGACTCTTGGAGCTGGTTCAATGTTGCAGTTGACAACTGAGTAATGAGCAGGCGTCCAACCCAGAACTGGCTTGATTTTCAAGGGGAAATCTATAGCTTGGCCCTCACCATTTTTGTCTAAATAATACCACCAATGATTTGGCAGGGAAAGTTTATTTAAGTCATCCTTCTGGAGCATTTGATGACCTCTGTGTTGCGATGGTATCCCTTTGCCATGAACAATGTAGCGCCAAATATCTTGATCCATCCATATGTATATGGCCGATGTAGACTTTGCTTTAAGCGCATTTATTATCCCACAATAAAATTGTTTACCAGCTTCTGCAATCCGTTCTTCACTGGGTCGTAATGGATTTTGGTAACTCCTAATATATAAAATAAAGCATATAAATTTTAAATTGATAAAAACATTTGCACAAAATTTTTAAGATGTACAATTTATTAATAGTTATTTCGAGTTAAATAGCGAGAATTTCAGATTTGAATGCAAATATTCTTCGAACCCTAGCAACTTATAAATTCTGTACAAATTACCTTAGTAACTCTGGTGTAAGATGATAAGCAGGTTCCCAAGTGCAGCTGGTCATGGGCCAACCTTTCCATTTGATGAGGTAGTATTCCTCCTGAAGTGCAAAAAAACTGTAGCTGACACGGCTTTCAACATTTTTACAGCAATAAATATATTCAGTATCATCAGACATTGTCTCAGTATGCCAATCACAATGATTCAAAAATGTAAAATATGACGTGCGAACAAGTGAATGACTACCATTGAATCAGTAACTGACCTTGTTCTGCATTTTTCTTGATATAATCCTTTCGACATCAAATTTTTTAGGGTACGTCTTGATTTTTGGTCTTTTAGGTTTTGTTTCATACATAATTACAGAAGAAATGTTTTCCAGTTGCTTGTAATATCCCTTATGTGGCCTCCTCGATTCTTTCGTTAGCGACGCCATATTGGATTAAATTCGGCTCGAATACGTCATGTTACTTTGCCCCATGGCGAAAACCGCTGGCGTACTGCTGATTCCCATGACCGGAATTTCTGGCCATGCAACAAGCATATTGCAGAACCGGTTTTAATTGGACTATGAAGAAGATTCTTTGTTGGCTTTATTATGTTTAGGACATGCGTAGACCATCTTAAATCACCACTAACCGTAACACCGAGAATTTTAGCTTGGCAAACCAGGTTTGGACACCCTGCAAGAAGATGGATATTATCAAAGAATTTTTGAACATTCAATTGGAATTTATTCTGCAAGTTCCACATTTCAAGTTTGTTAGCTGCAGACTGGATTTGGCTGGTTCCGTTTCTTGGGATAGTTTCCGAGACTGTTGTATCATCGATGTATTTCCAGTTGGTGATGTCCATAAGCTTCAAATCGTTCATCTTGAGAATAAACAACCAAGGACCCAACTTTGTGCCCTGTGGGACGCCACTAGGGACATTACCCCACTCAGAAACACAGTCCCTTGCAAGTTTCACATGCTGTTTCCAACCACACAAAAAGCTAATAAGCCAATTTATGACATAAATTGGGATGGGCAGTTGGCAAATTTTGTTGATCAAGATTGAGTGATCAATAAGATTGAAAGCCTTCCTGTAATCAACAAGAAGGACTCACACAGAATTTCCAGTACCATCGGTTGCTTTAGCCCAGTTGTGCAACATGCTAATAAGGGCAATAGTTGAAGATGACCTTGGTATTCCTCCAAGCTGGCGAGGCTCGATGCATTTCAGGATGGCAGGGGAGACAAACTTTTCAATGACAAATTCTTCAGCCAGTTTTGAGAGACAACAAGTAAGAGATATGGGCCTTAAGTGTTTATTAATATCACATACAACCTTTTCCTTTGGAATTGGGATAATGTCCGCCAACTTCCATAAGCTTGGTAATAATTGATGGCGGAGTGAACAGTTAATCAAGCTTGATATTGGACCTGCCAAAATCTCGGCATATTCCTTGCAGACATCAGGACCTGGTGCTTTAGAGGTACTTAGTAATTTGAGTTTTTTTATATGTTTCCCACGGTGTAGTGATGTCAAGAGGTTGATCAGACATACTATTGGTTTGGTTGGGTTCTAGAAAGGCTTTGTTAATAGCATTAGCCAAATCGGCCACAGGCAGGTGTTCTAAGTTTTCTGATTGGATACAATCCTGTAGGCTTGAAAGGGAAACCATTCCACTAATGCGTTTTACTTCGCGCCACCATTGTTTCGGGTTAGATTGTTTTAAATTGTCTACGTTTGTCTTATAATAATTAGCCTTGCAAGTTTTCCTTTTCCTATTAACCATATTTCGATAGAATTTGAAGAGGGTATCATTCCCAAAGAAAAAGGCACACTGTCGAAGTTGTATGAGAGAACGGAGGAAGGCATTGCCTTCTCGCATCAGTAAAAATTAGGAAGACATTGCCTTCTCACATAAATGGATAAGGCATTAAATAATGCATAGGGCATTAAATAATGGAGTCCGAGGAGGAGGTGTTGCAGTGTTTGTTGATAATATTCATGTTAAACATCGAATGGACATCTCAACATCACCCTTCGAATGTGTTTGGGACTGTTTGGGTGATACTTCTGCCCCAGTGGCTACCACACACGATCTCAAGAATTGCAGTAGCAGTCGTTTACTTACCACCTTCTATGTCCTCCGAGGATCTTGGCCGTTTTTATGACTACTTCTATGACTGCTATAATAAATTGATATTGGAAAGCTCTGACACATCCTTTATATTAGCCGGCGATTTTAATCCTAGAAGTAATGGTTTCCAGATAAAATCCATCTCAAACATGTGCCATTTTAACTCTTTTGCAGCAGGTCCATTACGCGTAGAACGTGCACGTTCTACGGATGTTTCGTTTATATCTTCGGTTCAGTACACGCTATGTCGATGAAAATACCGCCATTCGATTCAGTATAAAAATATATACTAATTTATAACGACAGTTTTAGTGACTGGCTACATTGTAGCGATTTATAAGCTTTGAAAGTCAAACGGGCTTAAATATGATCAAATTACGCAATATTACTAACAAATTATAAACATAGACATACCTTTCGCCAAACATAACTTCGGCCCCTTGAGACGTATGCTCATTCTTGTATTCTTGGTCAATGAAGCAGTTAAAAATAACACGTATAGTGTTATTTTCAAGCTTCTATCGTTAAAACGTGAGTTTTCTTGCCGAATTTTGCATTTCTGCCCGAATTTGCGTTAATCCCAAACCGGAAATACGACGAAAAACCGTCAAAACAATGCGTAGTTTGTATCGCGTGACTCTGGAAATGCCAGAAATGGATTCTACAGGTCAAAGTGCACCCATACGCGTGAGTTTGACGTCATCCCGGCTAAAGGTAGCTCCTTATTGGCCAAGTATTACGTAATACAAGTGCGTGCGAGTAAAACCCGATACCTTGAAAAATTCAAAATAAATATTTCTACTCGCCGTATTCACACGAAACTTTCTACACTAAAGCGCTTGAATACAAAGAGTATTTTGCACATATATCCTTTCAGAAAATGACGCCAAATTTTAGAATAGATTCAACTTTTTCTCTTTTTCCCGTTTGAATGTTTGGCGAAGCCGTGAGTATAAATATATGATTGTTTCGGTTTGTGTAATGTTTTGACGGCACTTGACCCCCCGTTCGAAAGGTTATATTGTGAGGATTTCAATGGTGGCATTTATTTCAAAGGGGGGTAAATACTCACCGAGATATTTATATTAGAAAAATTGAATCGAAATGTAATACGAAACCGGTTGTCGAGAAAGAGTTAAGCAAGTTGTCAAAAACCCAACCAGAGGTACGAATATGTTAGACCTTATTTTTACTAACTGTGGTGATTTTTTCAAGCTGCCGGAAATCCTTGCTCCAATCGCCAGCTCGGATCATGCGACCATTGTTTGGAAATCCTCTTTCCAGGAACCAAAAAAAAAATGCGACGAAAAAAAATGAGGGTCAGACCACTAAAACCCACTACTGTACATGCCTTTCGTGAATTTGTGACTAATTGCGACTGGTCTTTCATATTATCCACGAACGATGTTAATGATAAAGTTAACACATTTTTAGAATTTACGCAAGTTTCAATTAAAACATTTAAATTACACGAAGATGATAAACCATTTATAACTGGAAGATGAAAAAGCTAATGGCAAAGCGTAACAAAACTCATAAGTCGGGTAACTTTGAGCTCTTTAAACGTCTTAGAAATCAAATTGTTGCGGAAGTTCAATCTGCAAAAAAGAACTTTTACCACAATCATGTTTGTCCCACTTTTTGTACAAATCCTCATTTTTGGTGGAAGAATGTAAATAAAATTGTTGGGAAAAAGAAACAGTCTATTACACTGTTTGATCTGCAAACGGAACATCCTATGGACGAGAAACAAGCTGCGGAACATATAAATTATTTTTTTGCAAGTCTAACTGAGGATTTTATTGAAGTGCAGGATAAGTGGTTAGACGGCGGTTCCTCCAAGCCTTTGCCAGTTATCAGTGAAGAAAGTTTAGAAAGAAGTTAAAAGGACTTAGTGTTAAAAAGGCAAGGGGGCCGTACGATCCCAATATTAAAGTGCTGAAGATGTTTGTATCGTTCAGGTGCCGAATCATTCAAGTCATGAATATTCCCAAAAATATGGAAACGTTATAACGTTTGCGCAATTCCAAAGGTTACACCTTGCTCCGCTGTAGAGGACTTGAGACCAATTTTGCTTACCAAAGTCTTGTCTAAGATACAGGAGTCGTACGCTATAGAACGGATCAATCAGAATGTAGGGGCGAATGTCAATGAATCCCAATATGGCGGGTTACCAGGATCATCTGCTGTGTTGGCCCTAGTTAACCTTATTCGTAATAATATTTCTTGATTTTAGAAAAGCTTACGACTTGGTAGATCACAATAAGCTATTGGAAAATTGTGAGAAAATTGGGGTCAGGCCAGCTCTTATTTCTTGGCTAGGATCGTACCTCGAAGATAGGTCACAAGTCACTAAATTCCACAATGAATTCTTGCAGGAGGCTCGAGGTAAAGGAGGAGTTCCCCAAGGAAGTAAAATTGGACCCATCACATTTATTATCCACATCAATGATCTACTGCTCATAATTTCCCCAATTAACCCAGAGGATGAAGATATTTCATTGTTCATGGACGATACAACTCTATCGGAAGTCATTGACATCCCCCAACACGTGTCCAACTGCCCGATCGGAAACTCTAAACGAAACGTGGATAACATATTGCAATTTACGAGAAATCAAAATATGGAACTCAATAGTAAAAAGTGTAAAGAGATGTTGGTAGACTTCAGGAAGGTTAAAACTATAATCCTGTCAATTGCTATTGGCGGGGATATCGTCACAAGAGTAAAATCATTTAAGTTGCTGGGTATTTGGATAGACGACGATTTAAAATGGAAGACTAATACAGCCTATATTATAAAGAAAGCAGTCAAACGATTATATCTCTTAAAGGTGCTTAAAAGCTATAATGCCCCCATGGAAGATCTAAAAGCCTTCTATACGGGTGTAATAAGGTCAGTCCTGGAATATGGAGCTCAAATCTGGAATGGCAATCTCACAGTTGAACAGAGTAATGACATTGAGAGATTACAAAAGTGGGCGCGAAATGTTTATTTTCAGTTTTTAAAAATATCCGCATGTGTGTGCCACACGAGCAAAACCGGAGCTTTTCAACGATATATAATACATGTTGTTTCATTATAATTGCAGACTTTTGAACCAGGCTGTTTTCCCGTACGTATGCCATAGAGACAATTAAGTCATGTCTAAGGCTAAACAGCACTTCGATATTGGTGCGTGGTCAAGAGAAAAGAAGGCCAAACGTCAGGAAATTATTGCAAATAACCGTACGATTGTGGATTTGAAAGACTGCATTAAAGCAAGTGAGGCAGAAATTAAAGTTTTCAAGAGGAAGGTAGCTAAAATTAAAAAAAATTTTCTTGTAAAAGCTTGGTTTGCTTACATGCTCAATTTCCAATTCTGTTGATGAGATTGCAAATTAACTAGAAGGGTTTAAATTTGATTTTTAAGTGGTGCTTATATTCATTCTACATTTATGATTTTATATGACCTTAACTTTGTGGACTGGTTGTTACCCATGTACATAAGCATGCAATTTGGCAGACCGGTATTAGCAATTTGCAAGATCTACTTAGGGGCCAAGTCTATATTCATGTTACATAATACCAAGCATAACTTTGAACAAAGTTATAAATTCTACCAACTTACCCGTCTCAGATAATGTCGATTATGGCAGTTCTTTCAGACTGATAAATGCTCAAATTGGCATGTGCATATCTGTAGGCATAATGAACACCCCCAGTGAATTGCTAGTTATAAAAGAAATACCCAAAATACCTTGTGTAAACCTAAAATAAAATGAGAAACAGACATTCCTGTTTATTTTTCAGAGAGGATTTTTGGCAAATGAAAAAGTCAAGCTCCCTCGTAATTCCCATCCAAAGTCTTTGTCAGTTATTAACCAAACCTGTAGCGAAAAGCTTGATATTCCTGAGAGTACTGCACGGAAAAGAATAAAGTTGATGTTTGATCATGCAGAAAGAATTAACACTAGGTCTTCCGACAACGAGAGCTTGAAATGGAAGTCTGCTTTGGATGGCATTTGGAGTACTTTAATTAATTCTGCCAGTGCACACGAGATGAAATCGTACATGGAGAAGTCTCCATTGGTTCTCACTAATGTTATTCCTTCCATTGTTAACGACGCAGTGGTTAAATATGAACATAGCCAAAAGAACCTGGTGCGGTCACTAGGAGTCCTTTATGAAGGTGGCATCTCCAGCAGAAAAGAGTATAACAGGAAGCGAAGTCGGGAAACATTTGAAACTGGTGAACATGGAGAAGAAGCACCAAATAATGTATATGAAAGGATGCAAAGTCCCCAAGCTGATGGAATACAAAAAAGTGAGGCAGTTTGTAAATTCAATGGATATTGGTGAACTCAAACAGATTCCAGAAGCGAAAAAATCTGCTCTTGACAAACAGTTGGATCAACAATCAGACGATGAACTGAACAGTGGTGAGCATGCTGTGTCAGGTTGTTATAGAGACTTAGAGTCCACTTTACTTAAGCTTGCAAATTTGTACTTAGTTATAGATGATGCACGACCTGGGTTTCTTAACTGGTTCAGTTCCCCTGAAGGCATGTTTCAGGTATCCATAGGAGCAGACGGGGCCCCATTTGGTAAATATAACCAGGGAACAGCTTGGCTTATTTCTTTTTTAAATGTTGCCGATAGAGTTGGAAGTTGTGATGAAAACTATTTAATATGTGGGGCAAATTGCTCGGAAGAGTAATGGTTGAGTATGGTAAGCTACTTAGAAAGGAGATGGAAATGATTCAAAAGAAATCATACATCATTGAGGGAATTTCTGTCTCTTTTTCGTTTGAGTTAATTCCGGCAGATATGAAGTGGTTAGCCTTTATCTCCGGGGAGCTTCCAAACTCAGCCACCTACTTTTCATCATTTTCTAATGTTTCACAATCCAAAAAGGGTAAAATGGGTGTAACTTTTGGGTCAACTTGTGATGATTATTTTAAACCGTGGAACTACCAAAAACGTTTGCAAGATGTAAAACGTGTTGAAAAACACAAGAGTAAGCTTACCCCAAAGCAGATAGTTGGCAGGACTAAGGTAACTCAGTTCATTGCGACTCAAAAATCTCACCAAGAATTTGAACCTATTTTAGGGCCTTTTATAGACAAGGCTGTTGTAGAACCATTACATTTGGCAAACAATAATTGGGAATTTTTATTTACAGAATTGTTCGCATATGTGATAAATTCAAAAACAGTTATTCCAAGTAGTGCCAAAAAAATAACAGATTTACCCAAGAGGTGTTGTTTGAGAAAGTTTTTGTCATGTTTAAAAAAGAAAGTAAAAGCAAACCGATTGTACAACTCAATCTTACGGTGGTTTAGAGAAGGTCGTAAAAGTGGCATTGCTTTTCACTTCAGATTCACTGGTCAAGAGACCGGATTGATGTGCAATGGTTTTTCATAACTAGTGAAAGTTTTACTGCCAAACGATTTAGACTGTTATGAAGACCTTATTATCTATGCTATTGCATTTATGGCAGTTAATCTTGGGGATGCAGTGTCAATATTTTCACGAATAGCGGATATGAAACATTTGCTAACTTAAATAGGTGTTGTGTTAACTATTTTAAAGCAGCTGCATTATTTCTTAGTAGGATTACAGTAAGTGTTTGGACATTGGGCTATATTGTACCAGTACATGCTAATTAAATGTTTGAAAAGTTCAAAACAGGGTTAGGTTTAAACACCATGCAAGGCCGGGAGGCAAAACACCAACGGTTGGGGGAATATGCTAAAAATACTACACCTCAGAACAAATGGCAGCAAATTTTCAGACATGAATATGTATCATTAGTTTGGCTGAGAGAACAAAACCCATACACTGATGCTTACTCTAAGACCAAATTTAAGTATGTGCCTTTAAGATGTAATACAGATGATTTTTGTAACTGTGGCCTTTCTAAAGATGTGTTAATGGATGAATGTAAAATATGTTATTCTAAAATTACAAAATCTATCAAAGAAAGCATTGAAGAGAGACCTCTGCACAAGTTTGCACAGGTATTTAAAAAAATGATGTTGTACATGTGTTTTAACGTAATTTATTATGCAGGTATACTTTTGAAAATTTACACTGTAAAATGTTGTTAGTGTAACAGTTGTAATTGTACACCGAGAACTAATAATGTATGACGTAGGAATGTTGATAGAAATAAGCTGATGTATGAATAGGATAGCACGAGGCAATAAAAGTTGGTTACAAACTGGAACTCAAAGTGTGCGTTTCTCTCGCAAGCATAATTTCGGCATGTTACAATTTGGTGGCAGCGGCGGGATAATGATCGAAGATGCGCAATAGCCGCAATCAAGGCCATGGTATTAAGACAAGAGTAAGACAAACCGAGCGGGCAATCCGTGGAGAATGCAGTCAAACGTTTGGCGACGCAAATTGTCGCAAGTTGGACTGTGTTCAGTGGAATAGGTGGACTAAGAGGAGATCCAGATCGTCGATGTTGGTCGAGCGGCGATCTTACCAAGACCAAACAAGGACTGTCCAGAAAACTGAGTGGAAAGTACTAAATAAGTAAACGCCAACCAAAACTGAATTGAACTGTCTGTGTGTGAGTTATGTGTTTCCTTTCCTGTATGCTGTGTATTTTGACTTTTGAGTTTGAAAATTTCCTGTGTTGTGCCCTTGTGCTGTGTATGAATCATCAGAAGTAAATCGTCTATCCAGTGTCACCTGGCAAGAATATGTTTCCTACCAGCTGTGAAGTCCTGGCGTTTTCTGCGTTGGTTCATCCCTTCTACAGTTTTATTTGACTTTCGTGTGAACTGATAATTATGTTATATGTATTGTTGCTTCCAAGACATTTTATATCTTTAAATTAGAGAACTTATATTTGTTGTGCGCGTGAACGGTATATATATATCATAGTAGCTTCGATGGAAGCACAAAAAAAATAGAGATGTTAAAGACAGTTATGTTGGCAGAGATACCGTAAGTCCGGTAGTATAAAAGAAACGGCAGACCAACCATAGAGTAGCTGTAGCCTTGTAGTAATTATGATGTAAGTGAGCACAAGTGATGCCGGAAATAGTCCTGTAGAGTAGGGACAAAGAAAAAACATGTAAGAAAATATGTGCTCGAAGTTGCTAGTTAAGTGATATGATGTTACCTGGTGATTTATTTTTTTGTATATTAGGCTTGTCGTTTATGTATATATTCAGTTTTCGGAACGAAAACAATAAGTGAAGGGATATTGTGACGTTCATATGTGCATACTGTATTGATGTAAAACTTATATTATAGTAATAGAATTAAGCGGTAGAGACTTTGCTCTTTCCTGACTATCTAGAGCTGTTTATAGGTAAATGACGTAGTTCCTTATTTGGGAGAGTCTCCCATGGAGTGTTGTATGATATATAAGATTGTGTTTTAGGTTAATAAAAGGTTCTCCATTCTGGCCTTGATTGGGAGCGCTTGTTGTGTACCAACGCGGCACGTTACATTAGCTAGGAAAGTATATTTATGTGAATATGGTGATTATTTTTAATTACATTTTAAAAATTTTATATGACTATGCAATGTATGCATGTAATGTGTTTGGTAAACAATGATCACTTGAATACATCCTCACACCAGTATGAATCCGCCCGTCTCAATGGTGTCCATGGGGACACAACCTCGGTCTCAGGGTACTTCAACCCCTCACAGAGCGAAAGGACCCTGGCAGATCGTGGTCGCATTGTTTGACTTTATTTCCCAAATATGAGCAATAAAGCTGGGCTTGACCAATGGCTGCCCAAAATCTGGGCAACCATGTGACCACGATAGTGGTTTGAAAGACAAGTCAGGGGGGTCAGGGCCCATGGGATGGGCCTGGCTACGCCACTGAGGAAACAATAGTTGATAGGTCAGATACTACACCCCTTCGGAAATCCATCCATTTACTCTGGAGATGAATTTCAGAAAGGGTGCCATAAAATATGCAATCAGGGGGTTTCACCTGTAGGGTGGGCATTAGTGGATTATAATAATTTGTCCTTTTGAACCTGTTGTAGTTAGACCAAAATGTCTTGGTAAAATCATTTAAGGTTACAATTATTAACAACAGATTTTCAGGAAAACACCATGGTTCAACAAAGTTAATACGTCACTTCCGGTGTCACAATTTTTCTTCAAACTTCATTATAAGTATCTAAAAATATTCCTATAGCCCTTGTGAAGGTATGGTGCCTGTATCAGGCTTGTCGCGATCTTAACAATTTCATGACCTAACCACTTGAACTAAACACCGTGCAATCTGTTTGAACATACAGGGATATCGGATACGTGAGGTATCGATTGGGAGGTTGGAGTATTGGCTAGTGCATTTATTAGTTAACCTTCCTGCATGTGGCAAATGTTAATAAGTAGCTAGCTAATAATCACTGAAACATATTGCACATAAATATGGGAATACAGCAATATAACAAAACTTAAAAAACAATATTGAAGGTTGTCTTTGTATTCTGAATTCTCATTTTAAAATGGATTGTTCTAAAACTGTGGTACCCCATGGCTGTTCCAAAATCCATAGTGGCATTGGACTTTCAATTGTTCATTCTTCACCTTGTATACAAGTTTGAATGGCTTTTCTTGAGATACAATGGCTTTAGCTACCCCCAAGTGGGCAAAAGTTTTCCTCAAATCTTTGTGGATACCAGCAGCTTGTTTAAATATATGCATAAGCTTTCCTCATGTCGGTAAATTCAACGACGTGTTCCACTGTTGTTCGAGTTGTTTTGGTTGCAAAGCAAGTATTTGCTGTGCATATGCGCACAATATGTTCAAAAATTTTACCTGGTAAATCTCTTACAAGAATTGTTTTCCACCCAGTTTGGACAAGGGCTTTCTTTCTCAGCCTTTTCGTAATTTGACAATGCCAAATCGATATTTCACGAACGGCAAACGGGTGTATTTCTACAATGTGATGCTCCAATTTTTCGAATTTGTCCTCGGCAATCACTTCTTTGCAAAGGCCACCTGCTATTTTAACAGATTGTTGAACATTCTCGAAGATTCCATATATTTCGGACTTCCTATTGGTAAATCTTTTAGGTATTTTGCTTTCCCGTTTGACAAAACGTCTTCGACAAACAAATTTAGATTACTGGCGCTACGAGTATTAGTTGCCATTTTGTTTTTACATATCTTTGATATGCGCGATATGGCGAACCTAGCCTTGCTTTCGTGCGCAAGCATTTTCACAGTAAAAAATCCCCAACGTGATGTTAAATCAATGTTTGGAAAATATGGGCGAGGGGGTGCTGCATGCATGTGTTTCTAATCTAGTATTATTACCAGTCACCATATTATCAGCAAATTGTCCAGAATATGTGTTGACTTAGTTGTTTGAAGTAGTGTAGATGTCATGCAGCACTATGATTCTGAATTGTGCTTTTATCTGCAAATTGTTTAAAAAGATATTTTCTGGCAGGTCGCAAGACTGAAATATTGTAAATGATGCAGGTATAAATTTAAACAACATATAACTCTAGCTATAAAAGAGTGAACATGCTACTCAATTGACACTGCTGTTAAATGCTGAAAAGAAAGGTTGAAATGTGTCAATATGATCTTATCACAGAGGCTGTGGGTTTGCTTTTTCATATACCCTTACAACTGCAAGGGTCAGTGTTGTATGGTGATTCCACTGATCGTCAGGGACGTAAGAAAGCATCTGATGTTGTCGGAGGATTTTACCTGAAATCTGAACTTCAATGTGTAATATTTATGTAATGTGATTTATGTCTTATAAATTACCGACTGCCCCTGTAGCAACCGCATGTGCACGCATTCATTCTCCGAAGCTTTGTTTTCTTGGCATTCGACAAACATTAAAGATAGCACACTTTTGGGATAATTTGGCTAGGAGTAACAATCCTCCTAGCCGATTTATTTAAGTAAACAAAACAATATTTATTAATACATAAGTGTTTGAAAATACTAATGTTTCATGCCAAGAAAAGGGTGGAGCTAAATTATCGTCAAATCATCGAGGCGAAACTGAGATGAACCCCACCCCAAGGAGACTGAATGTGTGCACTAATAATCACAGTAATGAACGGTTGTGACAATGCGAACAGCCGCCCCTTGCTGGCCATTGCATCCTCGCCTCGAAATCCGAACTGAAATACCATACATGCTACATAGGCAGCAAGCAATTTTGATTAGGAAAATTTGTAAACGCAGCCGCCCATGCAGGCTGCAGGAAGTAATAAATCAACATGCTGAATATATAAAATAAAATGAATTTAATGCCACTGCACCGCTTAATGTTCAGTGAGAAGGATATAGTATTGTCGCGCTAGTCGGCAGATTAGCAAATTGAATGCCGCGTTTGTCCCTACTAAACAGGCAAGTTCAATCATACTAGTCGAGGATCAAATAACAAAAAGATCGGATAATTGCACAAAACA